TCTCTCCCCCATGGGAACTCTCTCCAGCAGGCAAAGTGCTCAAGCCTCTGCCATCCCTTCTTGTCTTCTATGGAGGGAGCAGGCAGCAGGGGCCTGCTTGTTGGTCATTGTTATATTATGAGATTGCTTTTTGTATTTTTTTTTGGGGGGGGGTCTTTTGACAGACCCTCATGCGGTGTCCAGGCTGACCTCCAACTGTCTTTGTAGCCAATGAGCTGCTGATTGTGCCTGCAAGACTTTTCTCCTGCCTCCGTCTCCCAGGTGCTGGGACTGATTACAGGGATGCGCCACCACACCCAGTTCCTGCTCTGGTCTTGGAGAGGCCTAGTCGATTTAATGGTGTGGGATTCCCGGCCCTTTATAGAGCAGACAGAGCCACTGCCAGAGTCCCTATTTCACAGATGAGAAGAATCCTAGGAAGTTAGGAGATCTGCTCCCTGCCGGCACCAGACTCAGAGCACAGCCTCATGGCCTCCCAGGCTGGCTCTATGCACCTTAGTGTGTATGCTTTTGCCAGGTGACAGCAGACAGCGTACACTTCCTGGCTTCCCAGGCTCCCTGGACATTGACACGGCACTCTTACCAGGCAGCCACCTTCCCCACCTGAGGTTCCACCACTCCTGGTTGTAGAGGTCCTTCGGAATAGTGCCATCAAAGACCTTCCAACGGAACACGTCTACCAGGTAGCTGAAGGGGATGAAGGCAATCTTCTCCAGGGCAACGCCCATCAGGAAGTTGACCTCCTCCTCTGGGGACGGGGTCAGGGCAATCAGGAGGCAGCTTCTTGGTCCTCCCTTTCTTCAGCCACTCCCTGAGGGCTTTCACCCCCCTCAGCCCCAGCTGAAGCCCCAGGCTCAGGGTTCCCCTCCTGCTAACCCTTCAGTCCCTGTCACCTGCGTCCTGGTGCTGGTGGCTGAGCAGACCTCTGTTGAGCAGGTGCTTGTGGGAGGAGGCTGAGAGGGAGATCACTGACCCCACAGCCTCTTGAAAGGCTGGGCTGGCGCTTTCTTGGTAGATTATAGAGAGGTTCTGGAACTGCATGAAGTACTGGATATGTCCCATCTGGTGGAAGACGGAGAGCAGGTCTTCTATGGTCACCTCGGTGCACTTCTTTACCCTAGGGTTAAAGGGTAGGGGTCAAGGAGCATGGGGATGCCCTGGGGACACTCAAAGCTTCTTCATTCAAACTTCATGAAGGCCCTGGAGCCATGAGGCTGGAGACCAGAAGGGCCTTGGCCTACCATCTTTTCTCCTCTAGACCCTGTGTCCACCCAGTGACCACATCTGCTACCTCCTGCACCCATATTCTCCTCCATGCTTTTGAATCTCAGCCCCTCCCTCCCAGCCCCGCTCTCCCCTGCCCACTCCTTGCTACATGGCCAGTGGGGAAACAGAAGAGGGGTGAGAGTCGGGTAAAGACCGTGCTGGCTGCAGACACCTGAAGTCATCATGCTTGTAAAAGTTCCAAGATGAGGCATGGCACTCCACCTCCTGCCCGTCAACCGGCCTCTCCAGCATTGATTTCACCCAGAAATCCGGTGGGGCAGGCAGCAGTCCCATAGAGGTAAAGAATATGTTAGCCTCTTGAAACATTTTTTCAGGCCTCCAGTGCTGTGGGTTAAAGAGGTAACTGTGTTTCTGCTTCCCTGTTTGCCTAGGGGGATTGTGGGACAGGGCCATCCAGAGGCTCTGCACTAACCTGGCTCTTCATGATCTTGGTGATGTCCTCGGGAGGCTTGTCTGGGTAGGGCAGGACCAGGTCTAGAATGTTTTCCCAGGACTGAGCCCACATGTTCCCTGGAAAGGGGGTGAAGGGGCTAAGAGGAGGGCAAGAGTGGCCTTCCTCCCTGTCTCCCTCTGCCACCGGTCTGGCCCTTACCCAGGAGGTGGGCAGGGATGGGTCCCCGCAGGTCGATAAGCTGAGGCCCGTAGTAGCGGTACAGGGAGTGGCGCACATAGGCGTGTAGGTTCAGGTAGAGAGGCTGCAGCTCCTCAAAGAGCTGCCTCAGGTCTTCCTCCAGGTTGTCAGACTCATACTTGGATCGCCACATGTCCCCCATGTCTCTGTACCCTGGGGAAGAGAAAAGACCGTGACGGGCTCGCTCTGCCACCTGCCTCTAACGGCTGACATGGCCCCCTCCCTGTTCCCAGGCATGGCCCGCCCTAGAACTCTCCCAACAGGGGGAGTCCTGGGACATGCCTGGCAAGGTACTATCCTTCCCTACTGCCATGCCCTGAACCCCAGATCACCCAAAGCCCTTGGTCTTGTGGGTTTCTTTCTGATCCGCACCCCCAAACCCTGCTTTCCTCCCACCGAGGTGCAGGGCCTCTGTGTGGGTGTTTTCTTGCTTCCCGCTAGCCTGTCCCCTGCTCATATCTACAGCACCAGTAAATGTCAGCGAGGCCTGCCTTGACCATACATCTGAAGCTCTCCCTTTCTCCCCTGATTCCAGCAGCCCCTTCCTCCATGGTATCGTATTAAGCAGTATTCGGGACCTCTGTGTGCTCAACGAGGCTCACCTCCTAATTGGATGTCTGTGAGAAAGTCCCCAAGGCAGACATCTGCCTTTGCACTGACAAAGCCTCGGTATCCCGCCAACACCCAGCCCACAGTGCAGGCTCTATCTGTGTTTGCAGGGCCCAGTTTCAGGGCTCACATCCCCCTGCACTGTCCATACCCATTCTGCCATTTCCTGAACCCTCTGCAGACTCAGCTTCATTCTTTTCCTGGGTGTTGACCCAGGGCATTATGTCCAGCCTGCTTACCGTTATATTGTGCAGCCTTGTTGCTGAGAAGTACATAGTACTCGTAGGCAGAACGGAGCTGGCGACCCACGGAATCGTGCCAGCTCTGCCAGGCCCACAGCAGCTCCTTCCTATCCCTGGAGGTGGCCATGATTTCTTCGAGTGTCTGTGTCCAAATAGGAGCCACATGGTACTCCATACCCACTACCTCTACTCCCGCCCCCTCCCCCAGGCATTCTTTCCCCATTAAGAGGACACAGCTGAGGTCAGGGGCGGGGCTGGGCTGCTCACCAGGCTCTAAGGACAAGCAGGGGCCCTCATCCAGGCACACCTCAGTTGTGCTATATGTTGTCTCCATGTAGGTCAGAAGTCTGTTGTACTGGGAAGGCAGGTGTCACCCAGGGCCCATGTCCTTGGGCCCACTCCCAACACTAGCCCCACCAGCCAGGAGGGGTAAGCCTGACTAAAGTACCCCCCCCTCTAGAGGAAGCTCTGGTTCCGTCCCACCAACACCCGCTCCTGCCCCAGATACTCTTGTTTCCAAGCCAGACATGACCCACCCTCCCCTGGGGTGCAGGAGTGTGTGCCTTGGAGGCCTGGGGCTCTGTCTATCACCTCCCGGAGATCCTTCATGGGCAAGGCCGACTTGTCTACGTTCTGCAGCTTACTCAGCATGCGCTTCACTTCTGGGTCATGGAAATGCTCTGTCTTAAACAGGCGGGCCCGGGTGCCAAAGTACAACATGAATTGAGACCTCTCCACCTCCTTCTGCAGCTGCAAAGAAGGCCATCCTATTGGTTGTGCGCAGGTTGGGAGATGCAGTACCAGTTTCAGGTTGACCCGCTTTACTGGTCCAGAATCACCGGAGGCTTGCTAAGAGGGATAGGATGCCCGAGTCCCTGAAAGCAAGGACGTGAAACTTGCAAGGGCAAGGAATCTGGAAATTCTTATGTAGAGGAAAATTCAAGGCCACTGAGATACCTGGAGCTTGCAGCCCATTTCGGTATATGTTTTGGGGGTGTGCCTCTTTCCACACACTATGAACACAGGGCAGGAATTATGACTCCCAATCTCCAGGATCCCTAAGAAGAGCAAAGGGAGGGAGGACCCGGGGGGAAATGGTACCACACCATGCTCTCCTGATTTTTCTTGGTGATGTTGGTGACATAGTTCCAAGTGGCCTCCATGAACTCGTTCAACACAACTTGGGCTGTTTCCTCATAAAACTCCAGGAATGTCCTTGTTCAAATCCCCAGCACCCTTGTTAAAGTTGGACATGGGTGTGCACACCCAGACCTGCCAGGAGCAGGGACAGAATGATCCCTGGGGCCAGCAGTCTAGTGGAATTGGCATGCTCCCTGTTCTGTGAGAAACTTCGTCTCAAGAAAATAAAGTGGAGGGCTGGTGAAATGACTCAGAGTTAAAGGTCCTTTTTGCCAAACCTGACAACCTGAGTTTGGCCCCCAGGACCTTCAGAGGTGCTCCTCGGTATCTGCCTGTGCACAGGCCTTGCCCTCCATACAATACAAACAAAAGAAGGTGTAGGGCTGGCAAGATGGCACAGTGTGTAAAATCCTTGCTGTGTAAGGCTGACAGGCTGAGTTCCATCCACAGAGCCATGTTGGAAGTAGAGATCAGACTTCAAGTTGTTTTCTGACATCTAAAAGCTTGCATGTGCCTGCACACACACTGACACACACACACACACAAACACACACACACACAAGTTCAGTGATAAGACCCTGCCACAGTAAACCACATGGTGAGATTCTTTGCCCTCAGTCTGAAGCTTGGTCCTTTGGGTGAAGGCTGCTGACCTCACATTGCCCACGGCCCTGAAAGGTAGCATGAACCTCTGTAGTTTATAAAAATAGAGGAGAGGAGGTTATGTGACACTCATCTTTGTCTGGCAAACAAATTGCAAAACACAGGTTGGGAAGGGGGTGGGATGGGAACTAAAGTCTGTGGCATTCAGCTTGGAACAAGCTGGAGCGTGTGTTTACAAGTTTCATTGTCTTGTTGAATTGTAAACTCCAACCTTCTTGTAAATCCAAAATCACACACACACAGAACAGTAAAAACCAGGCTAAGGATATTAAGGGGCCAGAAACTGGCCTCTGCCCCAGAAAGCTGACCACCTTAGATTTGGTCATTAAATATTTGAAAGGTAGATGCATTTATGTTAAAGGGAGAAAAAGATAATATAAATCAGATGAGAGAGAGCAGGCTGGAATGACACCAAAGCGTCAACAGTGTTTAAATTTCTTGATGCTGGTATCATGGGCTTTTATTTAGAGTTTTCCAAATTTCCTACATAAACATGTAGATAACAACTATTTTTAAGAAGTTCCTTAAAACGACACCTCCCCCAAATCCCAAGGGGTGGCCTTAGGGTGAGGGAGTGTGTTCCGGTGTGAGCAGGCATCCTGTGACACTGAGCCCACACTGTGGCTTTCCCCAGGGCAGTGCCTGTGTGGCTCCACTGGAGAACCCAGGCTGTCTATTCATGAAGAGGCTGGAGTCTCGGTTGACTGTGGGCTTTGGCATGCTCCATGAGTCAGGCCCTCCAGTGCCCTCATTCTGTAGCAGGGAAGGACATCCAGGGTCTTCCTGAGACACCCACCATCACAAAGGTCAACGCAGAACAGGCTGAGCCATCCACAGTGCATCCACAGGCAGAGCAGGAGGCAGCCCACAGCACTGCTTCCTCTCTGCTTCCTGGGATCCTCCCTGGTAAGGGCATGGAGTGGGCAGGGGCCGCCTGCCTGGGCAGAACATAAGCCACCTCACCTGGGCTGCTAGGAAGGCTGGTGGGAAAAGCTACAGGGATTGGGGGTTGGGCAGGGGGCGGAGCACTTGGGATTATTTGGGTTGCTGCTTGGAGAGAGACTAAGAGGCAACCAGGAAGGGGCCTGCTGGAATGTCAGGAGACAGACCAGCAGCCGGTCCTGTCCCTGGCTTCCCAGAAGGGACACAGACTCAGGTGTCGGGGGGGAGGACCTTTAATTGTACGCACAGAGACTGGGTGGGGAATTCCATGTTAGATGCTGGGTGTCTAGAGAGTGGGGGCTGGAGATGGGAGTCAGAGAGTATAGCAGGACAGGGAAGGAGGAGGAAGGCCCAGCTAGGGTGTGTTCACTCACACACCATGTCCCCCATCCAGTTTCTTGTGGGACATTCCTCTGCTGGCCTCACCAGCAGGGTCACCTCAGGAGTGTCTGAGCTCCACCTCAGACCCAAACTGGGGCCCACGGTGGGGCCGGTGGAGGCTGTGGTGGTTGTGGATGTTGAAGAGCCGATGGGCGAGACCCAAGGTGGCCACCAGCAGGGCGACGCCTAGGAAGAGCAGCACCCATTGGCCCACACGGGCCTGCTGTGGCTCCAGGTACATGCCGAGGAAGTTGACACGGCCAGACTCTGGAAAGGAGCCTTCCGAGCGAGCTGAGCGAGGAAGCAAGGAGACAGGGCGGTGGGCAGGGCGACAGGTGGGCTGGGGCCTTGCGTTCTGGCGTCCCTGTCTTTGCTCCGAGATCAGACTGGAGTCTGTCTGGACTGGGAATGGGGTTCAGCTCTGGGAGCAGGGCTTGGGGCTGGAGGCGGGGTGGGTGCTGGTACCGTTGTTTGGTGTCCAGTTGTACTCCGGCCAGCCCAGTATCTCTCCATGTCTCCTGTTCTCAGTGATGAGCCATTCTGTCAGTGGCTTGAAGTAGTTCATTATGGCGGAGGCTGACATGTTAGGCTGGCCTGTGATCAGCTTCATGGCTTCTGGCCACGGCTTACTGTAGCCCAGCTTCATGGTATCCCTGGGGAAGCACCAGAGAAAGGAGAACTGAGTAGGAAGGGCCTAGATTCTCTTGCTTAGGCTGACATTCTTTCTCCAACCTCGTTTCCCCAGCCTAAACATCCCTTTAGGATTGGGAAAGCTCGAGTGGGTCTGAGGCAGGGGTTGTCAGGAGGGGAGGGCCCCAGGGTCTCCAATTTCCTCCTGGAGGTGACATGTCAAGGGCGATACAGGCTCTTCCTGGCTCTTCTCAGTGCTCCTAGCAACAGCCTCAGTGGTTTCTCAGGGCCAAAGAATCAAAGGAGGGTTCAAGGACACTCACGCCAGCAGCTTCCCTGCCTCCTTGGATTGGTAGATGTCACACTTGTGCAGCGGACCCGTGTGCCCGGCTGCACGGCACAGCGCCTCGTGGAACTGGAACTGGATGATGAAGCTGATGAAGTACCTGGGGTGGAGTGACATGGGACATGGGTGAGATGCCTAGAGGGAGGAGAGGCGCAGTGCAGTGTGGGTAGAGGAACCCACTTCCACCAATGAGACCCTGGGACAGTCACCGGAGACACAGGATATGGTCAGGATGTCACTCTCGCCTCTGGTGTCATCTGAGCTCTTCCCAGACACGCCTGTATGGATGCTCCCACGCGCTCCTCTCCCCCACAAGCTGCCTACATCCCTGCTCCAAGGGTATCCAAAGAACAGGCCCCTCAAAGCCTTTGCAGCCTAAATGGTTTCCATCCCTGTAGCAGAGGGCAGGCGTTGCTGGGTGGGACCTGTGGATCTGCTAGGGACTTCTGGGTAGGGAAGGCAGCAGGGAACAGTCTTATCGGAAAGCAGCAGGAATTTCCTGGTGGGAATCTGTGCCAGTTGAGGCCCCGGGCAACCACACCAACTCTGAGGAGCAGAAAAGGCTCCTCCCTTTGGATCCTGGGCATAAGCCATGTGCCACTGGCTCCCCTGGCACTTTCTCGGTGCTCCGCTCAGGCTGCTGGCCAGAATGTGAGATGCGGTTTTTCTAGAGAGCCAAGTTGTGCATGCCTGCCTGGAGAACTGTGCTAAGCTGGGACACTTGGGGTCACAGGGTCCATCTCAAGGCAAGAGTAAGTGCTGAGATCTCAGAAGGAGACTCCCATAGGTGGTGGGGCCTCACCGGGGACCACATCCCCAAAGTCCCCACAGGCACTCTCTAGGTAAAGCCTGATGGGCACAGCCATGACTCTTCTTGCTCCTTGGCCCTCTGCAACCTTGGAGAGGGCCTGAGTGTCATCTTTCTTCCTAGGTCCCAGACTCTATCCATCCTGCTTTGCACCAAACTTTAGTCCAAACTTTTGTCAGGGCATGCCTTCCCTCCACGTCCAGAGATTAAGAGTGGCAAGACCTGTAAGAAGCTTAGCCTTCCTGGGAGGTCCTCTCTGGCCTCTGTGCCTTGGCTCCCAGGAAGTCTGGGCATCAGGAACTCTGTCTTGAGATCTGCCTACCTACAGCTTCTTAGGGTGATTTTGGGTCCCACAACCAACCTTCCTCACCCCGAATAAGCATCCCACAAAAGCATGAGAAAAGAAAAGAGCTGCCCGGGCCACCGTAGGCTATGGCCGGATGACACACAGGCCAGTGTGCTGACGAAACGCACTTAAGTCACTCACAGTGGAGGAGCACAGCTCCCAGGACTCCAGCATGCTTTGTGTGGAAAGGGAGACAAGTTGGGGCCACCCTATGTGTGCTGAGATCAAGGTGAGACAGAGGGCATTGTTCAAACAGAGAACTCTGACCCCCACGCTGGCAACTAACCTGTCCCTAACCACCCTGTCTCCTGCATAAGCTGGGCCTCCTGCCCCGGGGTTAAGACTGCAGGACATTTCAGGTGCAACCCAACACGTATCACAGGCCTTTGGTTCAGCTGCAGCAAAGGACCCACAAAAAGAGCTTGTCTCCATCACTAGGGCCCAAGATGTATCCAGCCATGTGTCACCGTTGATGGCAACTGCTCTGTCGGTAGTGGGTGTGGTGGCTTACTTGCTTTGCTACAGCAGGAGGATTGCTGTGAGTTTAAGACCTGCCTGAACTACAGAGTGCTCCAGGCCAGCCTGGGCTACATAGTAAAAACCTATTTTAAAACAGAAATCCTACCCAGATTCGTCCTTGTAACCAGTAGCCAGTCTTTTGGTGACTTTTCTGGTTTTAACTGCTTGGTGTAAGCTCTCGTGTTTTTCAAGGAATATTTAAAGAAACGGTAGGGGGTGAGGGGACCTACACCGTGTGTCCTGAGCCTGCTCCCACAGGTCTGGTGGGGCAGCTCCAGCATGGAGAGCCCAGTGATAAAAGGTTAAACCTGAACCTGAAGGGGCCACCCTTTGTGGCACACACTCCTCCCATCGCTCTCACCTGATATATGGCACATTTGCAGAAACGTGAAACTTGGACCCTGGATCAAAGTCACTTTGAGTTCTGGGCACTGGAGGGCAGAGACCCTGATACTTCAGCCTGTCAAAGGGGGAGATATGTTAGAGGGTGAATTTGGGGAGAACCTAGTCGAGAGAGGACTGGCATTTTCCACTTGAAGAATGGTCCCTGCACCAGAATGCACTCTGCTCCTACGTGCTGTGTTCCTGTGCACAACCACCCCCACGAGACTCCTATCGCCTGTGCGCGTGCGTGCACACACACACACATATGCACACGAACACACACACACACACACACACACACACACCGCTGGCTCATCTGCAGACACACACAAGCACAGGCAGACACTCTCAGAGATCCTCCCCGATCCACACCCCTGGCCAGGGTGTTCTAGAACCTGAGGCTCCACCACTCCTGGTTGTAGTTCTCCTTGGTGATGCTTCCGTCAAAGATCCTCCAGCGCCACTGGTCGATGAGGTAGCTGAAGGGGATAAAGGCGATCTTATCGAGGGCCATCTTCATCAGGAAGTTGATGTCATGCTCTGCCAAGGGAAACAGGGCATGGTCTCAGGTCCCTGCTGGCCTCCTGTCGGGGGTCCTAGCAGCTCAGGCCCAGACAGGGGGGCCCGGGAGGAAGGGAGAGCAAGGATGCGTGGAATCTCTTCACCCCTCTTGGGATGGTCTGTGTGCTTTCCTCTCAGGCTCATCCTGCTGGGGCCTCTTCCCTCCCTAATGGTCAATCTCAGATCTTTGCCCAGAGAGTCTACAAAATCTTCCTCTCTCCCATCTCCCAAGTATGTTACCTCTTCCTGGGCCCCAGCCTGCCCACCAGGGTCTCTGCCCCCTCTCACCGTAGCCATTGCCCTCACTGCTCAGCAGGTTGAGACTGTGTAGATGCTTGGGCGTAGACACTGACAGAGCCATAACATCTCCGATAGCCTCATGAAAGCCGGGGTTGGCACCCTCCCGGAAGGTCACGGGCAAGTCTTTGTACTGCATGAAATACTGGATATGGCCCATTTCGTGGTGGGCTATCACCAAATCCTCCATGTTCACTGAGGTACACTGCTTGATCCTAGGAACAGGAGTAGGGGGAAAGGGTGTCAGAGTGACAAAGGAGCAAAGGGACCATGGTGAAGCATCATGTGAAGCAGACCTTCTCTCCATGCACGCAAGGAGCATGGCATGATGGGAAGGAGAAATCAAGCGCTCCTAAGAAAGAGGTAGCATGAGCGCCAGAGGTCACTGAAGGTCATTGCAGCCATCCCTCTGCTCCTAACTTTCCTGAGTAGCTCCAACCCATATTGTCTATTGCTTTCTGAGCTGCTGAACAGGCACAAAGGCATAAATCTGATACTTTGTAGAATGCGTCTCCAGGGCTTTCCCATGTACTGTCTTTATCTTCCAGGATTGGGGCTTCCTGGAGGACACAAGGGTTAGGCTGTTCTGCATCTCATTTAACCCAAGCCAGTGAGCAGAGTCGCTAGAAAAATGCTGTGGCCAGGGCTGAATGACAGCTGCAGCACTGTCCGAGCCAGAAGGCTCTGCCTCCTTGGGTTGACCCCTCACCTTCTTCTACAAGCCAGTTCCAATGACAGGAGCTTCCACCTGGGGCCTAACCAGAGTCACACAGGGCAGGTTGACCTCATATTTCTTTCTCATGTTGGGGCAAGAGAAGGGAGGAGTCTGCCTACCGTCTCCTCTGACTCACCATTTAAAAAAAAAAAAAAAGAAAAAGAAAAAAAAAAAAAGATGCCCATAGGATCATCCCCTATCCCCTTGTCAATCTACGTGGGCCTTACAGCTCCTCATGCCTTTGAAGGTCTCGAGACCAGGCAGCGCTCCCTGACCCCACCAACCACGCTCTTATTTGTTTCTTGGCTTTGTGTCTACTCCTCTCATACAGGCACTAGACCAGCGGGGAACGGTATCTCTGCCGCTTCCCAGATTTCAGAGTCCTCCCTTCCTTTGAATCAGCGTTATCCTTGGGACTTTCTGTAACCAATAGAATGTGGCAGACATGGAGTGCTGACGATGCCTGTGGTCCCAGCACTTGGGAGCCTGAGGCAGGAGGACCACAAGTTCAGGGTCAGCCTAAGTTATATAGCGAGGCCGCCCTGTCCAAAAGTAGAATGCCTAAGGTGGGAGAGAGACCCCTAGCAGACAGGACTCGGGGCCAGTTTTAAACTTAGCCACTGAGAAACCTGGCTGCTTCTGCTTTTACTACATCTACCAACCCCGAGACTGTCATGAAGGAGCCCAAGCCAGCCTGGGCCAAAAACATGCCTGATCAGTGCCAGGCTGCTTTAGCCATCCTAACTAGGTCAGCTTGAACACTCCACCCTAGGCACTGCCTGTGGGGAAATACTGAGGAACTCACCCAGTAGCCAAAACTAGGTCCTGGGCAAATGGACCCATATGAGCCATTAAAATTACCCTAGCTGTGTCTAGAGGGTAAAACTGTGTGACAGAATGCTTTCCCAGCAGGCGCAAAGCGCAAAGGGACCCTAGGGCCCCTCCCCCAGTGCCAATTAATTAAAGTTATAAATGTTTATGTGCGTGTGCACCTGCCATGGTGTGCCTGCGGCCATCAAAGGACAGCACGTTTTGAAAGTTCATCCTCTCCCTCCAACCACGTGGATTTGGAGGATCAGACTCAGATCATCAGACTTGGTGGCAAGCACCTTTATTTGCGGAGACATCTTGCTGGCGCAGTTAATTAAGTTTGTAAATACTCCCACTGAGATGTCTGTCACTATGGAGTAGAGCGCTGCCTAAACTCCTCCTGCATGTAGAACCCTGAGGATCAGCTGGTCGATTTATGCTGCTGGATTTTGGGACAGTCTGTTAGACAGCTGTAGATAGGTAGCTAACTAACTCCAGGTTGCAGGACAGCAGTGTGTCAGCAGTGAGAGTGGCTCTGTGCAAGGCACCCAAGCGCTAGTGTCCCTCCCTGTGAGGCATCAGTGTACCCACAGAAGGGCCCGCAATATGTAAAGGAGTCTCTGCAGCGTACACAGAGCCTAAATCTGTGACTTTAAACATCCGAACTGGCCACTGGCGGAGCTGGCCAGAACGTCTGGCTCTCATTCCTTCGGTGGAATTTCCCTACTTGGTTCTCATGACTGAAACTGGACACAACCCTCACCTTCATCCCAAACTGCCCCGTCTAGACAGACAGGTGCTCACTCCAGTTGAGGGGACAAGGGTCCTAGCTCCAACCAGACAGACCTGAAGTCCTTGCCGTTGTAGAAGTCCCAGGCTGAGGCATGGCACACCACCTCCCTCCCATCGGTTGGCTTCTCCAGCATCGACTTGTTCCAGAACTCGGGGGGCACAGGCAGCAGCCCCAGGGAGGTAAAGAAGTTGTCAGCTTCCTTAAATATCCTTCTGGGTGTCCATCCCTGCAACCAGAGAGATATCTGTCTCTGACAGACACAATCGTGGCAGGAGAGAAGCTGTGAGAGGGCCACGCTGGAGGGAGAGGGCGTCTGCCTTCCATCTGGGCCTGCCCTCCCTTGTTCCCTCAGGAGGTCCACTGATGGTGGCCTTGGCTGCACTGACCTGCTTTACCATGGCCTCTGTGACATCCAAATTGGGGGCTGAAGGGAAGGGTGCCACCAAGTCATAGATGTTGGACCAGGTTTGCGCCCACATGTTCCCTGGAGGCAGGCGGGGAAGAGATGGCAGAGAAGGAAACAACTTTTTAGGCTCAGAGAAATCCTGCAGGAGGAGGGCCCAGATCACAATCCTGTCAATCAAGGCGGCATCTCTCGAGCACCGGCTGTGCTGGGTATTTGATGTGCACTATCTCCGAACTGCATACCCAGCCTATGAGGTCATTTCTGATATTAGTTGCCGGTAAGAACCTAACTAGTCATTAGGAATCAAGGGAGCCCTTTACACACGTGAGCAGTGAAGGAATCCTCCATAAGAGAAACCTATCATCCTTGACCACCTTCGGGGGGGGGGGGCAGGGTTCTCCCAAATGACCTCTAAATATGCTCTGTCTGGCTTCTCTGTGTGTTGTAGCACCAGGAAAGGGATGATACAAGGGAGACGCAAAACTGGTGGCCTCTGTTTCCCCTTAGTTCTTCCCGTCTCTTACTGTCTTCCTTTCCCTCCTACACTCACCCAAGTCATTTTAGTATTTAAAGCCCCTGGAAGGCTCTTTGCCATCACACCTTGACCCAGACCCGGCACCTCCTTCCCTGCCTTTGAATCTGTCCAAGCCTCTAATCTTTCAAGGCTCTTTCTGGAACTCCCCCTAGACTCCCCAGACTCCTGCAGCTTGCTGTCAAGGCATGATGGGTAATGTAGTCTTCCCTTTAAAAGATGGTGAAAGGCTTCTACAACATGGCCCTGTGGCAAGTGTGGCAGCAGAAAAGCTGAGGAGTGTGGCTCAGTTGTTAGAGCAACCGTCGGCCACATAAAAGGCCCTGGGTTCAATCCTCAGCACCACACACAAACAACGCACAAGCAAACAACACACAAATAAAGACAGTGTGGTACTTCAAGTGAGTGGGACGTTCCCCCAACCCCACTCTTCTCCAGCCTTGGCCATGCTCCCTCCCTCAGGGTTTCAAGTTCTGTCCCTAGTCTGGCCTAATCTCTGCCCCATGGCCAGTACTATCCTCTTCCTTTGTTGCTCATTGCCCGCCTGCATGAAGCTGGACCATTGTCCTTACCTAGCAGGTGGGCAGGAATGGGACCATTCAGGTTGAGGTACTCAGACCCGTAGCGGTGGTACAAGGAACGGCGCACATAGGCATGCAGGTTCAGGTATAGAGGCTGAAGCTCCTGGTACAGTTGTTCTAGGTCTTTCTCCAAGTTGTCTGTCTCATAGGAGGATCTCCATGAGTCCCCTGCGTCAGTGTAGCCTGCACAGGAGACACAGCCAAGCTTTCCCAACAGCTATCATTCACCCAAGATGCTGCTGACAGCTCTGGGGCCCTCCCTGTCGCTAGCCTGAGGGTCTCAGAGGACCTCTCTGAGGAGTAGGAGGTGCCAGCGGAAACAGCCAGTCCGTGGTCCCGGCCCTGGGAACTCACCGTTGAGCTGGGCGATCTTGTTGGAGAATCCCACATACTTTGGGAAAAAGGGAAGGATGGCTCTCCCCACCTTGTCTCGCCAGCTCTGCCACACCCATAAAAGCTCTTCATAGTTCCGGGACGTGGCCATCACATTTGTCAGACCTGGGAGGGGTCGGGGGAGTTGAATGGCTGGAGCCTTGGCCCTTGGCTTCAGCTCTCATCTGTTTAGAAGGGGAACTTGGTCCTAGAACTTCAGAGTTGGAATAAAACTGGCAAGATCAACTTGGAAATGACAATATGGGTGAGAGGGAAGAGAGATGTTGGGGAGCAATGCCATCTGGGGAGTCATGCCACACAGCTTCAGACACTTGCAGGGGTTCGGTAACTTTGAAAGGGATATATGTGAATATATATATATATATATATATATATACTTGTTCCTCCCTTATAAGCAGCTTAATGACATGCTTACATATGCACGCAGGAGGCGGCCAGGCTGGAGCAGAAACAAAAGGCTCTCTTGTGACTTTCCCTCCCCTGGGAGAAATGGTTTGTGAAGTGTCACAGGCCTGAGTTCAAGTTCTATGCATTCCATGGACCTGCCTCTTTCCGTATCTATAGCCGAGAGTGTAGCCCTGGCCCTCCCAGGAATGTGGAGATGGAGAGCCCTGTCCCTGAGCAGGCCCTGGGGACCGACAGCATCCTTTGCAAATTGTCATTGGGTTGAAATTAATAAAACAGTAGCTGTAAGGACTGTACAAGTGCAAGAGCTATCTGAGCCCCTGGGTTTGTGTCCCCCAGAAGCCACTCTGCATAAGAGACCCCAGGAAGGACGCCAAGCTGATATCCACCTCTCAGGCCAGGGTGAGGGTCACTCTAAGACTGCAAGCATCAGTCTCGAAACCAGTGCCTTCTTCCCCTGCTCTGCCCTTGACCTAGATGGAGAAGGCTCGGAGCATCTGATGTGGCCCAAACCCTCACTGCTGAACTTGTGCCTGAGCACAAATTCTCTCTATTCTGGAACATTCTATGCCATATACACTTGTCACAGAAAAGGTAAACTTAATCAGCTTTCTTTGAAGATTTGCTTTCATAATTCTGTGTCTGCTTTCTGGTGACGAAAGTCACTGGTCTTCATGGACTTTTTAATTTTAATTACTGTGTCTATGACCAGATGGCCTAGTCCTAGATCAAAAGGCTGTATGGTGGGGATGCAAAACGCTACATGCTTTTCAAAATATTCATGTTTATAAATAAGACATGCACACATGCCCCAAGTGTGCTTGAACACACACACACACACACACACACACACACACACACACACACACAAACCAGCATGCACGCATGTACTTGCAAACAAGCACGTACTCATTCCCTCTCCCTCTGTGTGTACACACCCACATCCACTACCTATAGGCCAAACCCTGCCCTGGAACTGCTTCTTGCTCCTGTTTATTTTCCATTTCCCCTTCTATTTGCCATTGTTCTGACATGGAAGCTGGGCTGGGGCCAGGAGGAAACAGCTTCTGGTAAAGATTCCCCACAAGGCATGTTTACGAGCCTAGCTCACCAACCCTGAAAGGAGCGGGTTGAGAGAGTATCTCTGTGGGCACTGGTGGGGCCAGAGTACACCTCTGCAAAGGGGACAGGCTGAAGAGAAAAAAGGAGTGGGAGAGAGAGGTAGTTATGAGCCAGTTCATGGCCATCCAGCGGAAAGGCCCAGTGGAGGGAAGGATGGTGTGGACGCCTCTCAGCCAGGAACAGGAGGCCAAGTTCTAGCCTGGTGCTTCTAGGGCTGTGGGATTCTGGCGTGATTCACCTTCCCTGACCCCAGTTTCCTTTTCAGCAATGTCCCAGTGAGGGAGAGGGTTCTAAGGAAGTCTGGGAAGGTAGAGACTTAAGACTAGGAGGTCTGTGGCTCTCCCTCTTGGGGTCTGAGCCTCGAAAACACATGTTTGTGATTCTATTGCTCTGAGGGGCATGCAGAAGGGAAAAGAGAGTGGGGGGGGTTATTGGAAAGGTGGGACGGCCCTAGGGGGGCAGAGAATTAGGGAAATGTTGATGAGGTTCTGGTTCTCAGTTGGGGCAGAGCAGTTCCACTGGTGGAAATGAGTTCAGGAAACCCATTTCCTCTTTCCCTTGGCAGCATCCTCCTTTCTACCCCTCATAGCCATCCCCTCCCACCTCTCTTGTTTTCTTCCAGGGGTGCTCTCACCAGGCTCCAACTCCAGACAGGTACCATTTGCGTAGCAAACATTGGCAACGCTGTAAATTGTCTCCATGTCCAGCAGGATCTCGTTGTACTGCATGGGGGAGAAAGGGGTAGTGAAGAGCCTCCCCTCCTCCCCTTACACACACATCTTGCTCTGGCCCCAGGTACCATGGGTGGGACCCAAGAGAGCATATGCCCTAAAGTGTGGCAGTCTTGGGAATTCCAGAGACATGCAGACATGGCCCATATCAAGACTTGACAAGTCAAGGAAGCAGTGTGGAACCAGACCCATGGTTTGGTTCACTCCCCAGCCGTCTCCACTCCCTGCTCCCCGTGGCCACACACCTCTTCTAGCTCCTTGGGAGCCAGCACCGCCCGATCCAGGTTCTGAACCTTCCTTATGATTCTCTTGATGGTAGAGTTCTGAAAGTTGCCCACATCGAACTTCTTAGCCCAAGTGCCGTATTTCAGGGTGTGGTTGGCCACTTCCTTATTTTTCTGAAGCTGAGGGCACAAGGGGATGGTGTCACAGGGTCAGGATAGTTGGCATGGCCTCTGTGTAGGCAGTTCCATAAACATGGAGGTGAGGAGTGGGATTTTACCAGGCTGCCATCTTTCCCTGTTACGAATACCCTTCGCCTCAACCCGGGAAAACTGCTTATATGAGTACGGAATGAGTTCCTCAAAAGCCACCTGCACTCTAGCAAGATACATCCTATTAGAGCAGAGGAAGGGAGCCTAGCACGCCTTCAAGTGTCATGAGGATGAAGGCAGTGTGCTATTAGAGAGGAGACTCCCTGCCCTAAGCGTTCACGGGTTGCGTCTTTGACATGGGAAGAGTGTCACTGATTGTGCACAATTGCCAAGGGATGTGTGCAGGAAGAGGAGAAGAGGTACCAAGGACCCATGGGGGAGACGCAGTGGGTCTTCAAGCAGCAATGAGCACTCTGTGCTTAGAGCTCATGGCCAAGAACTGGCTTTCTGTGGCACAATGTATACTTTCCCACAAAGGAAGGGCCAAGGGACAGGGGAAGGGTCCCTCACAGTGCCGACAGACAGGCTGTCAATCTTTCAAAGGGCGACACTAACATCATTTATTTCTGTACAGTGGATTATGGTCTCTGAGAAAGGTAACTAGAGAATGGTAACAGACTAGAGGAGTTAGCTTGGGCCTGGACTCCGAGCCCAGTAAATCTGCAATGGAGTATTGTTTTAAATCCCCTATTCAGACTTTTCACCAGTTTTGGCAGCTTGGTGCTGTGTGTGTGGTTGTGTGTGTGTGTGTGTGTGTGTGTGTGTGTCTGTGCACATGCTACATGTTGGGGTTGGAGGAAGTGGTGGTTCCTACCAGGATCTTGCTGCCCTCTCTGGTAATGTTGGTGTTATAATGCCAGTTTGCCTCTGCGTATTCATTCCACAACACCTGGGCTGTCCGGTCATACTCCTCCACGAACCTGTCAGCCTCTGCTTCGTCAGTCACTTGGTCTGTAGGAGGTGAGGAGGAAAATAGACAGGCCTCGTCTTCCTTACCATAAGGTGTGGTCTCACTAGAGTGCCCTCCTGTTGTCCCCCAGCTCCTTGTCCCCTCACGGCCCTGCCCCCATCCAGGGGTCCCACTTGGGTTCTGGGTTGTCTGGCTGATTGTTGCTTGGTGAGTTGTTGTCTGGCTTCTGGTTGTTGCCTGGCGTGTTAACTCCTGGCTGGTTGTCACATGGTCAGTGGTCACCTGATTGAGGACCAGCAGGGGGTTCCCACAGCAGAGCAGCAGAAAGAAGAAGCCGGGTGGTCCTGGAGTAGCCCAACCTAGGCCCATGGCCGCAGGAGAGCAGAGCCCTGTGGCCCCCACCACTGGCCAATAAGAGCTGAGCCTGCAGTGTGACCTCATAGAGCAATGTGCCAGCCAGACTGACCCCAGGGGCCCCAGTCTTGGCCACACCGTCTCTAGGATGCTGGGAGAAAAATATAGCCATCTTTGCTCCAGAGCCCTGATGATGAGCCTAGGGATGGCTTGGCACCACAGCCAAGGACTCCAAGGCTCAGCTGGAATGGATCAGGAGCCTGAGGCTTGGGCGCAGAGGCCAGGGACCAGGACTTCTCTTGGTCCCAGCCCACCCTCACTCGGAACTTTACCAATGCCCTCTGGATAGTTGTCGGGTAACGGTGGGCGCCACTGATACTCTGGCCAGCCCAGGACTTCGCCATTCCGCTGATTCTGCTCCTGTAGCCACTGGATGACCGGTTGGAAGTAGGTCATCAGTGCCCCAGCGTCCAGGCTCTCTGAGCCCACCAGGTCCTTCAGCACTTCCTGCCACGGCCTGGAGGAGCCGGCCTGTAGCACCTGCCTGCCAAACAGAGTAAGCACCGTGGACACAGGGAACACGGGTTGGGGCCCATGACATCGAAGCTGTCCATCTGTCCCTCATTGGTAAAAGAACTCTAGGGTGAGAGCCTCTGCGGGGAGGGGGGGTTTGGGGGGGCGTTTGCCTGGCTCATGGCGGCTGACGGCCTATTCAGTAAACATTTGATATGAAAGAGAGAAAGGGGAAAGATGGATAGAGAGGGAAAGAGGGAGGAGGAGAGAGGGAAGCTCCTCCCACAGCAGTCTGTTTTGTGGGGTTCCAACCAGAGCAGTCAGCTACCCGAGAAATGCCCTTCACCAGCCTAGTCCCTCACACACACACACACCCCGCCCGTTCTCCCTTCTTTGCCACATACTGGAGCTTGGCTCCCGCCTGGGTGGACTGGTAGATGTCACATTGGTGTAGTGGGCCCTGGTGGCCTGCCTCCTTGCACAGCGCCTGATGGAACTGGAACTGCAGGACAAAGCTGACAAAGTACCTGCGGGGGCCGGAGGGAAAGCAGAGAGCTAGACCAAGGTCCCTTGCTCAGGCTGTTTCCAGTGTTCTGCGGGTTACAGCTGGACTAAGGGCTATCTGTAGAAAGAAGGGGGACGCCGTGCGTGGCCCAGGAGCAGGGGACCATTCGAACTCTCAACTCTCAAGGTGTCTGAGGGATGGCGGAGCGGGGAGGGGCAGCGGGCACTGGTACTGGTACCTGATATATGGTGTCACATTTGGGATATGAAACTTGGCTCCGGCATCAAAATGGGTTTCATTCCGGGCAACTGGAGGGCAGATCCCCTGGTACTTGGTTCTGAAAGAGAACGTTTAGATCTTAGAGACCTGGGGTTGCACAGGCTGCCTGAGATTTGCAGAAAAAATAGCGGGTCCACCCCTAGCCCACCCCTCCCCCAGCATCCCTTCCACAGCCTGGAAAATGGGGGGAAATCCCTGGAGGTGAGGCTTCAGCAGGAAGGAAGGGGCAGGGTGTCCCCTGGGTTAGGCTTCCCCTCTCCTTCTTCGCACCGAAGATACCACCAGTCAAAGTTGTAGCGGGAAGGAGGGGTACGTCCACTGAAAACCCCCCAGCGCCACTGGTCCACCAGGTAGCCAAAGGGCAGGAAGGCAACTTTCTCTAGGGCCATCTTTAGCAAGTAATTGATGTCGCTTTCTGTCCAGAAACAGGAAGAGAGAAAAGGAGAAAGAAGGAGTCCAGCTAGGGGGAAGAGTGGACCCTGGGGAAAGAGGCGGGGCTAGGCAGAGAGAGAAGGTGAACCCCAAGTCCTCAGCCCTGCTTGGAGAGGACTCTGGGTGGGTGCTAAATTCAAAGCTTCAAAGCAGGCAGGCGTGTGTGGGGCCTCAAGGGGAGAGCAGTGGAGATGTGCCGTGGCGGGAGATCTGAGTGAGCAAGGCCGGATACTGTTCTCCTCCCCATCCCCATACCTATGTCATTGTCAACACGATCCAGCAGGCCGATTTTGTGCAGGTGTGCAGGGGTGGAGACGGAGAGTGCGAGCACGTCCCCGATGGCCTCGTGAAAGCCAGGGTTGGCGCCTCTCCGCAGAGAGACGGGCAGGTCCTTGTACTGCAGATAGTACTGCACGTGGCCCATCTCATGGTGTATTGTGGACAGCTGCTCCATCGTGACCCGTGTGCACTGCTTGATCCTGGAGCGTGGAGACGACAAGGATGAGGGTGACGCTGAGGGCAGGGGCCAGAGCCCTGGGGAGGCTGGCACCAGAGGAAGGCAGGGCCAAGGAGGACTCTGTCCTGAGGTGGGGAGTGTTTAAGAGCTAGCAACCCTTTGACCCTATGCTAGCCCACCATCACTCAGGCCCTCCTCCACTCCAAGGCACCCAGATGATAGCCTCTCAAGGCCACAGGGGTGGCGAGTTCATGGGATGACATGCCCTACGGCCTTGAATAGACCTGTCCCTCAATACAGAGGCAGGCCTGCGTCACAGCTGCCCCCTCCTCGGAGCCCCAGGGTACTCTTCTTGCCAGGTCTAGACCTGAAGTCCTTCCTGTTGTAGAAGTCCCAGGCGGAGGCATGGCACACCACCTCCCGCCCATCAGTTGGCTTCTCCAGCATCGACTCTGCCCAGAACTCAGGAGGCATGGGCGAGAGCCCCAGCGAGGTGAAGAACTCCTCTGCTACCCGGAACATGTGTGTGGCATTCCAGCCCTGGCCAGCGGGTAGAGAAACGGGTCAGGAGCCAGCCACACGGAGCCCTGTTGACTGCCTTGAGGGCACTGCTGGTGATCTCCACCAGGACAGCTTCTAGCCCAGGAAAGGTATCTAAGGCTCCCCTCCCAGAGATAAGGGCACTACTGACTACAGCAGATCACTTCGCGCCAACATGGACAGAGCCCCTAGGTCACTGCTGACTGTGGCAGGAAAGGGGAGAGGCCCCATGCCTATCACATGGCTCCCTCCTGCCCTGGACCCCATCTCATTGCCCTACCTGGAGCCTGACCCCATAGCTTACCTTCTGCACCATTGTGCTGGTGACATCGAGGTTGGGTTTGTCTGGGAAAGGCACTACCATGTCATAGATGTTCTCCCAACTCTGGGCCCACATGTCTCCTACATGGAAGAAGTGAGTGGGACAGCTTGGTCTCCTGTCCGGCCATGCCTGGTTCTCATATATGCAGCCCTGGGACCATAGGACAGCTCTCCTGACTCTCTCTGGGTTCCACAGGACTGGTTACTGGTGTCTTTTCTAATTATGCCAGGATCCTTTGCCAAGGGGCCACAGGCTTCCAGGCTCACCTCCTCAGATATGATCTACGACAAGGCTGCTTCTAACTCTGAACCTGCAGCCCAAGCCACCGGCTTGACCCCCAGCTCTGCCCTACTTGAGCTCCCCATTGGCTCTAAGTTCTGGCCCACCCTAAGCCTGAGTGTTCCCATCTATAATTCCAGGCCTGTGGGGACCTTGGCCCATGCGATGGCATTATTCCATATGTCTGAGGCACCGTGAGGATGACCCAGCCTCCCTCTGCTGGCCGCCATCCTGTACCCAAGCTTCCCTGGGCTTGCAAGGTCCAGGTCCTTACCCAGCAGATGAGCAGGAATGGGCCCCCTGAGGTTGATGTATTTGTCCCCATAGCGTCGATGCAGGGCGCGGCGGACGTAGGCATGGAGGTTCAGGTAGAGGGGCTCCAGCTGATGGTAGAGCCGCTCCAGGGCATCCTCAAAGGAGGGGGACTCATACAAGGAGCGCCAGTAGGCCCCTGTGTCCGGGAAGCCTAACAGGGTGGGAGAGTGGCCGTCAGGCCCAAGGCTTTGCCTCCCCTCCCCCCACACCCTAGTTTCAACTCTGCCATCTTTCTGACTCCAAGCACTGGGCTGAGATTGTTACTCAAGTTTTCCTTGAACTCAAGACCCTCCTGCCTCGGTTTCTTGAGTTCTGGGATTACAGTTGTGTGTCTCTCACACACACACACACTTTTTTATTTTTATTTTTTATTTTTTTGCCAGGGTCTCACTGTGCAGGCCGGGCTGCCTTCAAACTCTTCATGCTCCTACCTCAGCCTTTCAAATACTGGGATTACAGGCAGGGGTCACCGTATCAAGGTCTACTCTAAGCTACAGCAAAAAGTGGTCCCACCAGAGGCAGAGTCTTAGGGCCAGGAGCAGTGCCACAGATGGTGCCAGGAGCAGCGGTAAGAGGGCAGGACAGCAAGGTACGCTGGCTGCAGGTTTCATGCCATTCCCACTAGCTCGAGACCTTGGGTGGGCCCTGGAACCCTCAGATTGGCTGTTTTTGTCTAGCTCGGGGACTTGAGGCTCTGTTGGGACAGCAGATGAGAGTGCCTCGTGAACCAGGAAAAGTGGCCGTCCATGGGGAGAAAGGTGCAGGCTCACCATCTTGTCTGTAGGCTTTATTACTGAGGGCGGTAAAGTCTTGATAGAGGGGTTTCAGTGGAATGCCCACAGCATCATGCCAGCCCTCCCAGGCGAACAGCAGCTTGGCGTAGCTTCGTGAGGAAGCCAGGATGTTGGTGAGCTCTGAGAGAGGTGAGCAGGACCAGTTAGGAAAGCATCTGCGTGCCAGTCTCTAACAGCCTTCACCGGAGGTACGCGCTGGCCTTCACTACTTCTGCCAGCTTCTCCGGCACACTATCTCCAGGCAAGGGCAGCCTGTGGGCCTGGTTGGGAGGAGGCTATACAAAGAAAGCACCAGGCAGGACCCTGCTCCCAGGAAAATATCTAAGGTGGTTGACACAGAAAGGACATTTACAGGTTAGAACAGACAGGCCCTCCATGGCTCACTGCATAGAACAGCTGACTTTGGGGACCCAGGGCTGTGGGAGACTCTTGGAGAAAGGGCGGACCCTTTCAAAGGAGAGCGAGGTCAGAGAAAGGCTTAGTGGAGGAGGGGTGGGGGTAGAGGTTCTCAACCTTTCTAACGCTGCAAACCCTGCCCCCCGCCTTGGTTTTCGAGACAGGATTTCTCTGTGTAGCCTTAGCTTTCCTGGACACACTTTGTAGACCAGGCTGGCCTCAAACTCATAGAGATCCTCCTGCCTCTGCCTCTCGAATGCTGGGATTACAGGTATGTGCCACAGCACCTGGCTCTAATGCCAAAACCCTTTAAAACAGTTCCTCATGGTGTGGGGACCCCAACCATAAAATTCTTTTGGTTGCTACTTCACAACTGTCATTTTGCTACTGTTATGAATCATAACGTCAATATTTGTGTTGGGTAGACACGGTCTTAGGTGAGCCCTGTGAGAGAGTCGTTTGAGCCCCCAAAGGGGTTGCAACCCTCGGGTGGAGCACTGCTGGACTAGAGGGTCCCTCTGAAGTCAGTTTTCCAGGAGGAGCATGGGGCAGAAGTGTGGGTACGCGTGCACGTTCCAGCCCCAATGGGGGAATCAGTGCCTTTGATTTACTGACCCGCATGCCATCCCGCAGGTGACCCAGGACTAGGAAACCCTTGCCGAGACCGGACAGGACCATACCTGGGTCCAGGGACCAGCAGGTGGCAGTCTTGTTGGGGAAGCAGACCTTGCCAGTGGAGTAGATGCGGCTCATGTCGCTTAGCAGAGAGTTGTACTGCCAAGTTAGAGTTGAGGGAATATTAGCGACCAGGCATTCGCCCGGGAGTTCATCTGCCCCCCTCCCCCACCCTGGCTGGGAGAAAAAGGGCGTCCTGGAGAGAGGGGATGTGACTCAGACCACGTCCCTCAGCCTCACTCTACCAGCTGCCACTATAGGGAGGCCCTTCAAGCCTTTAGGCCACCCTCGCAGGTGGCGCTGGGTAGACACCGCGACCAAGCGCCAGCTCACAGGGAGGGCGAATCCCTGCTGTCCTCCGGCCTTGGCGCCTTCGCAAACTTCCCAACCATTCTAGTGATAAACCAAGTCTACCTAGAGAGAAAGTCACTGCTGGCTGTGTGTGTGTGTGTGTGTGTGAGAGAGAGAGAGAGAGAGAGAGAGAGAGAGAGAGAAAGACAGAGAAACAGAGACACCGAGAGACAGAGACAGAGAGTGAGACTATCTCTCTTTGCATGTCAGAAAGAGAGAGAGACTCTCTCTTCGCATGTGCAGTGCAGTTCTGAGTATCAACCCCAGGGGCCTCACACACGCTAGACTGGCAGTCTGCTGTTCAGCAACCTCACTCCACCTCCTGCATTTGACTTTCTCCTCCACAATAGAGAGTGACTTGTCACATCGTGCGTCTGGAGGGAAAAATCTGTGGTCCTCGAAGCCCTCTGTCTCCCCCGGATTCCTACAGCCAAGGTCCATACCAACTTCAGGCCCCTCCCTGTCTGCCGGACTGCTCTCCCAACCGCGATAGGCACCTGAAGTGCTCAAGTTCTGCCTCCACCCTCCGGCCCACCTGCTGCCGCTGGGCCAGGGGCAGGTTGGCAGGTCCTAGGGTTCTTATCGCTCCGATGACCCTTCGCAGCTTTGGGTCAGTGAAGCTCTCCCAGACGTGCTCATACAGCTCCTTGGCCTTCTTGCCCCAGGCCTCCGTAAACTCCTGCTCCATCAGGGCTGCTTCCTCCTGCGGCCACCAGGAGGATGGAAAGAGTGGTCCAGCTCAGGCGGAGGCCATGGAGAGGCTACAGCGCTGAGAGCGCAGAGGAAGGCTAAGGGCTTCCAGACCCTCTGGCCCCGCAGAGGTCCTGTCCGGGAGATGAGCTTGCCGGAGCAGCACCCCTCCTCCTGAGCCCTCTGGTTGGGAACCGTGGGAATTTGGCTCAAGGGAGCAATGAAGGAGAAAATTGGGTCCAGAATAGGGGCCAGAAAAGGAAACTCAACAGGAGGTCAGGCGGCTTGCCAGGGGGCAAGGGCCCTGGAGCCGCCGAGCCAGGCACCCTGTATGTAGACCGCCACTGCCCCGGCCCTGGATGCCGCCCCGGGAGGATCTGGCCTCGGAGGAGCCAGCTTTATCCGTTCCATTCCTATGTTGGCACGGATCACGTGCCCAACCCCTACTGGAGCATCGCCGCCTGTCTAATGCGCAGAGCGGGTGGGAGGGTCCAGCATGCGACAGGGGTGCCACCAGTGACCTCACTGCTCAGGGCTGAGGCTGGGGGTTCCCGACGCCCGCCGCTCGCCCAGGGAGACTGACCGCGGGCCTGTGATTGGCCGCTGCGCCCCGCCGCGCCCCGCCCCCGCCCGGGCCCGGGGCGCCCACCTGGAGCCGCGCATTCTCCTCGGTGATGTTGGTGTCGTGCGCCCAGCTGGCCGCCACGCTCTGGAACAACGCCTGCTCAGCACTCGAGTTGTAGCTCTCGGCGAAGAGCTGCGCCCCTGCCTCGTCCGCCGAAAAGTTGCCAGGCTGCAATCCGGGGTCGAGCGCCGGGGCGGGCGAAGACGGCGGCGGCGGCAGCAGCAGCGACAGCGACAGCAGCAGGAGCGGAGGCGACAGTGGCCCCGGCCCCCGCTGGCCGGACGCGGCCCCCATGGCGCGGTGCGCGCGGTGCGGCGCTGCCCCTTCTCCCGCGCCCGCCGCGACCGCCCTGCGGATTATAAAACCCAGCCACCGCCGCCTCCTGACACACCCCCACCTCCCCGCCCCTCCGCGCTTCCTCTGGGCTCCAAAGTCCCCCGCGGCGAGGGCCCAGCCGAGCCCGCGGGGTAGAGAGTCCCCTCCCGCCCTGCACAGGGGCCCCCGGAGCAGCCTGGGGGGAGAGATGGAGCTAGGTCGGGGAAACTAGAAGGGAGTTCCTGCCCCCTCTGCAAACTCACTGCTGAGGCCCAGCCGTGCCCCCTGGATGCCACCACGTATTCTCAGGCCACAGAGCCCAGCTGGTCTCTGACTCTCAGGCTTCCCGGCATAACCCTCCAAGCCCTTCCCGGCTCTTGGGTGACAGGGGGGAGGGGTGTCTGGCTGGTGCCAGGGGGATGGACTTGAGGTTGCCAGTTCCTGGAGGAAAGGGGTCACCTGCGTGGCTGTAGGAAGCTTAGCTGGTGCTGCAGCCAGTTCACCCTGGGCTTGGGGTGGGGGATATCTCAAAATAGTATAACCGAGGGTCTGTTCTGTTCTATGCGGGGGAGCCATAGAGTGGGCCACAAGCACTGGCACCCTGCCCCTACACTTTGGGGACACGGCTGACGGTTGGCTGTTCAGCTCACGGGAGAACCATCCTGCACTGTCAGAACAGAGCCCCGGAAAGCTGCACGCTTTGAGGGCTACAGACCGCCTCGGAGATTAGAGCAACCCCCTGCTTTTTAAAAATGGAGAAATCACCGCTGAGACAGATTGGCTTCAAGTCAGCTCAGGTCTCCACACTCCCAGTCATTTCCCTGTCTCCTCCACCTGTCTCTCAAACTGACAAGCCCGGGGGAGGGAGGATCATGTCCTCTTGTTGCACTAGGAGGCTGTGGAGGCTAACCCGTCAGCACCAGGGCTGTGCCCCCAAAGACGTGGGAGGGCCCTTGTCCCTGGACGGGGTGATGGAGTTCATACAGGAGAATGTGTGACTTGGAGACTTGGTGAGGTTGTGTTGGCCTGTCAGATGATGATGTGCCAGGGGAGAGGTCCCAGAAGACTGGGAGTGATGGAGGACGGTGGCTTACAAGAAGCCATCTGGTGAGAACTTGGCGGCCCCCATGGCTTGGGCTTCCCGGAGTTGAGGCTTGTGGGCTATGTGTGTATTTTCCCGTCAGTGAGCTGGGGAGAAGCAGCCTGTATTGGTTGAGGCTTGGTGGGGAGAGGAAGGGTTCTGAGGTTGGTTCAGAAGGAGGGTGGGTAGTCAGGGGTAAGGCCTGGGGCTTCGCCTGTATTGAGGAGCTCCTCTGTCTTTTTGGTCAGAAACAGAACTGAACGCAAGGAGAGAGGAAGACAGGGTAGGGCCGGAGACCAGTCTCTGAAGAGCTCCTGAGTACCAGTGGGGCCAGGAGAGTGAAAGAGCAGGCAGCGTGTCCTGCTGGTTCATTCTCAGGCCCAGCGGTGTGGCAGTGTGACGGTCTATATTCCTGGGTGTCAGGGACCGAGTTTAGGAATGGACAGCTCTGCCCTACAGGGCAATGATATGACCAAAGGCAAATTACTGTTATAAAATAACCTAATCTTGCTTACTGATAGCGGGGCAGGTTGGAGTCATCACCCTCTTCCCTCAAGGTGACATTTTATTGTCCAGAGCTCGTTGAAACACACGGCCTCCTACTATGCCATCCTTTCCGGGAGGGTAGAGCCACGGTCAGGCTGCCGCCACCTCCGTGGTTCCCCCAGAGCAGCATGGAGATGGGAGGAGGAGGTGACTGGCCCTCATGCTCACAACCCCCCTGATGGGAAGCCCCAAGTCCCTGGAAGAGTACAACCCTATGAAGAGCCAACCCTCACCAATTCAGAATTCACAGTAATACAGACATCGCAACCTTGATATTCTGATAAGTAGCAGTTAAAAATAGCTCTCTATTTTTAGGGTTTTACTCACGAGGAAGGAGGAAGATTAGGAAAGCATACCTTACCGTCATACCCTTCTGTTAAGGAAGCTCATTTGGCAGGTGGGCCTTCTGGAAGGGGACCCGGTATTTTGCAAGGTCTGTACCATGCTGCACCCCAGAACTGCTTCCAGTCTCTGACACTCATCCTTTGTGCCCTGCGCCCTCTATCCTCTGGTGTGCTGTGAATCGTCACTTTTTGGAATTTATACACTCTGCTTAAACAAACTTCCTATGGGATCTTATTGAAGATGTACTGCTAGTTCAGAATTAATTCCTGATTATGGAATTCCTGATTTGATTCAAACAGTTTTAAAAGCTAAATTGCTTTAGAACTTCTTAAACAGTTTTAGAAAGTTTATGGCTTCAATAAATACCTTTGTGGGATATTCCAACTAAGGAGCCTGCATGGAGAGGACCTAGATCCCCTGTTCAAAGGAAGCCCATTAGCTGTTCAGTTTCCAAGTGGGTTCCATAGTAAGGGGTACAAGGGCTGTCTCTGACATGAACTCAGTGACAGGCCCTTTGATCACCTCCTCCTTGGGAGGTATAGCCTTGCCAGGCCACAGAGGAAAATGATGCAGCCAGCCTTGATGAGACCTGACAAGCTAGGGTCAGATAGAAGGGGAGGAGGTCCTCCCTATCAGGGGACTAGGTTAAGGGAATAGGGGGAGAAGAGGGAGGGTGGGTGAGGCTGGGAGGACACAAGGGAGGGGGCTGCAGTGAGGGTACAAAGTGAATAAATTGTAATAAATAAATATATAGAATTAAATTTAAAAACATACCTTTGTGGACCTCCAGATGCCTCACTAGGAGACAGGCTTAAGGCAGATTTGTAACCTCAGATAGCCTTCACACACAAATCCTGGTATATGTCATAAATATAGGTGAGTTGGTTTAAACTTCCCATGAACCCAAATCATAATTCCTAGGCTACCTAGGAATGTCTAAATTAAGTACAAATCTTGATGTCATTAAACACAAACTGTTCTGTCGTAATTCCTTATACCTTGTCACCTTGTGGCATTGTATACTGTCATTTTAAATTTGTTTCTTACAATGAAAGACAAAATTATTGTCCTGAATTCACTGTAAAATTAGAAATAGCTAAAAATTGTGAAGCCACATCAATCCTAATTGACAAGATACATATTCTTGTAACTTTTAGACCCTGTTAACCTTTGTCCTCTGAACTCACTATGAACTTATATAATGGATACATAGATAAGAAATGTTTAGTTTTAAAAAAATGTAACATGTATTTTAGAATACATTTGTTTTTGTTAATTGCCTTTTTGACTATGAGGTAATTCCTTTTCTGGGAGCTTTGTCTCAGAGGTATAAAGCCATGACTATATAATAAACATTGGCAGAACCCCATTGAATGGACGCCAGCTGGAATTTGCCTCATCCATGAGTTGTAAATATGTATATAGATGTGTGTTTGCATGCAAATAGATCCGACTGTTTTTTCGTACATATGTTACACGGGTGGATGGCAATTGTCCCATCCATTGATGTGTGTGTGAGTATGTGCAGGTCTGTATGTCTGATCGTCTATGTGTACGTACAGGCTGATACTATGGAGCCTGTGGCCTAACCCTGCTGAGGTTTCTGCAGAGGAGGTGCCGGCTGAAATCAACGCCATCGTCCTGGGTAAGCTGTGGGAATTTGTTGAGGTTAAAGTTTTTAACTTCATCCACCTTTTCCCTTGAGCCTGTGTGTGTAAACGGCCTTTGTTTACTTTCTGTCCTCTTTTCTTTTAAGTTAGCAGATTTAGGATCTAACTATCAGCCTAAGATAAGCAGGAAAAAGTTTAACCTGTGGGGTCTCTGCAGTGACCTGCCCGTGCACAGGAGCTAATCTCAGATCAAAGATCCCCTTTTTACCACCCTTTGCAGTTTTGGCCAGAAGCCACCTTTTACAGGCCTGGCTATGGGGGCGGGGGGGAAGCGACCAGTTAAAAGTTTTCCCTTTAGTAGCAGTGTAGCCAGTCCCTAGACCTGGAGAAGGAATCTTGGGCTCCCTTCCCTTCTTTTTCTTTCAATCATCTTTCCTGATGTTGCCTGAGCCATCAGCTTGGCCACCCAAGAGATAAAGCATGGGGAGGGGCGGGGGGTGGGGAGAGAGGACGGGGACAGGACTCTGAATCCTGTCCCAGATCCTACCCTGGACCCAAAGCAGAGAGAGACATCGGCAATCGGACTTTAGGAGACTTTAACACCTTACCTTTGTATGGCATGTTGGATGTTTCCATACCCTTATGTATCAATGGTATTATTTACATTTAGATATCCTTAAGAGGTAGGGAAGAGGTAAGGTCCTCCACTGTCAGCCCCCTCCCTGGCAGCCACTGAGATTGTGCAGGACGCTCCCAGCCCCACATCGAGATCTAATTAGGGCAGAGCCGGTGAGGAGCTGTGATAGTCAACAGCCTGCTTGTTCAGCCAATCTAGCTCTTAAGCCCTTTATAGTTACTAGTAACCACAGATAGAGGAAAAATAGTCCCTAAAAATATGGTCAGCAAACCTAGGCATTGGTGGCACACTCATGTCATCCCTGCACTTGGAAAGCAGAGGCAGGAGGACCAAAAGTTGAAAGTGAGCCTGGGCTACCTGAGTTCTGGGCCCATCTTAGACTATTTAAGGAGACCCTTCCTTAAAAACAAAAAACAAAAATAACATAATAAAAACAGGATCAACAGGAGAAGGGCTGGAGGGACCATCCAGTGATGGAGAACACTTGCCGCTCTAGCAGAGGACCCGAGTTCCCAGCACCCACAACGGGTGGCTCCCAGGGCCTGTGACTCCAGTTTCTGGGGCCTGATGCCCTCTTCTGGCCTCTGCAGGCGCTGCATGCATGTGGGGCACAGACACAAGCAAAGGCTCACACTCATTTAAAAAAGAAAAGAAAGAGAAAAGAAGAAAGAAGGAAAGAAAGACTAGAACTGGGGAACAAACCCTCACATTTATTTCTATCGTTTTTGTCGTTTTGCAATGTAACCCAACAAGCCATTTTAATAAAATGTCATCAGAAGGAGGCACAGGGTGACACTGCCAACTAATCC